AGGTTTGGTGGTAGTTTTGGCGAGACACAAAAAGGCGGGAGAGTCGATAAATAAACCAATGATCACGATCATTCATACTATGTGAATAAAATCACTCACCCAACTCAGCCAGAATGAGTAGACATGTTCGTAATGCCACATCTGATGTGATGGGATTGGCTCCACTATCGGATTGCGTGCAGATCTGGTCGTAGCCTGTCGTGATGTTACGTGGCGGTATGCAGGGTGCAGGCCCGAGAACCGGTCTTAAAGCCACGCGGACAGGTGATCGATCACGGGGTTGGCCCAAAAGATCAGCACCACCAGTACCAAAATCACCAACCGTCTGGAATCGTCCGGCACGAAGACACGGGGCAGCCACGGCTTGTACAAGACTGCAAGGGAACAATTGTGGGGCAACTCGAACTAAATGATAGGCAAGACGAAGGAATAGTTGGCGCTCTCCGACACTGGAAACCAAACTCGATGATGTCAAGCATCCAGGTGGACTAGGAGTTGTGTCTGCAGCACGATCAATATCATCTCGGGGATTGCGAGGGCCAGAAAGGGGAGTTGATAGACACGAGGCACCTGCGCAACACAAAGAGGGGAAAAGAGTGTGAAGAATCTTGATTGGCGAGAGCAGAACCGCATTGGTGGAGTTGATTCACAGACGATATACAAAACCTAAATGTAAAGAACAAACTTATACACTTTGTTCGTAAATTTGTTGTTTATTAGTGATTCGCTCTCTCACAGTTAATCTTGTTTAAAGATTATATATATATATACATATATATATATATATATATATACACCGAGTGACCATTTCAGTCAAGATGGATCAGGAACAGGATTGTAGAGGAACAAAAATTAGCTATTTAGATCAATGAGTGGGTAAACTTATAAAATTGAGTAATTCTATAATATGCACATGTAGACTTGCTCCGCTCATTTTCGCTACGTTGTTTTTCGAGTATGATACACGACGTTAATCCAATGAGTCTATCTATAAATAAACATTATAAGATCAAAAGACAAGGTTGCAATGGCAAGAAGGATGAAGTAAAAACTAAAAAAAGACTCGATGGATGAGCAAGGAAGTAAAGTGTTGGATATTGTTGACTGTGGTAAATAAACGGCGGCAACTTGGGCTAACACAACGTGGAGCAACGTATACACGGACCACACTCGATGGATTATACATGCCATCAATGAGAACTATAGAGTACGCATCATACAACACAGAAAAAAGTTGAAAAAAAACATAAAATGCTATGGGAGAACGACCAATTGGAGTACCAATGTCGAATATATATATATATATATATGGCTTGGTAGCAAGTATGGCACAACACAGATAAAAGGGGTAAGTGGTTACGAATAGATGAATTGAAAGAAAACGGTTTACAACATATCGCAAAGACAGCGTTTGTGTGCGCGTTCCACCGCACACTTTCGAAGGCAACAATCAGAAATTTGTGACGACTGACGGCCTCGTGTAAGCAAATAACACTGAATAAAATGGCCATGATTACGGACAGCACTTTACTCCGACTTACGCATCCGTGGATGAATTCGAGTCGCACGGCTCGCAAATGAAGACTTGGCCAGAGCTGAGGTTTGAGATGAATCAGAGACTGCTGGTGATTGTGAAGGTTCGTGTGAATCAGTTCGTACACCTCGGAAACGCGTGGACCTCAGACCTACGGTACGTTGCGGAGCCAGTCGAGAGTGAGGACTGGTAACCGACCGGCTTTCCTTGGATTCCTCAGGCCCATAGGATAGGTCAAGGCATCTATGCGAATCAAGGTATTAAAATAATTAACCATCAAAGAGACTGATAAAAATAAATAGCATTTACAGTTTCCTCGAATCCCCGAAACGATTATAAACGACGCTTCATCTATATGACAGAATGATTTCAGTTCGCGTTATAACAACCCACAAATAGTTGGTAAGGAAGGAGAACCACAAACCTGTGAATTGATTGATCCAAGGTTTTTCATTCACAAAATTCATTTGATACCCGCGAATCCTATCAGATCGTTCGGCAACCTGTGTTAGCTAAAATCCTAGGAGCTTTCAATTTGGGCTCACCCTGTTCCCGAACCAGGTAAACCAAGTCCCATTTTAACTGTCAGAGTATATTCTTCAGACGTGACGTCATCTTCAAGCTTCACTATTCAAGTGTCACGCGGTTATTTTGTTTTAGAACACGCATTAAGAACACTGGTCAATTGGATCCCAGTCAGCAGTTGACTATGCGATGTATTAGTTGATGCTTCAATGTAAGGCAACAACACTAGAACGAATTTTATCATTTCATTAATCGTGCCTGCCGACTGATTGCAGTCCACCTGAGGTGGACTGATACTCAGTCATTTCGTTCGATTGCTCCAAAATATTCGATCAACAAAGTATGTTTTCATAACCAATGAACTTAACACTTTCAACCGCACATCTGATCAACTAATGGGGAAGAAGTAAATCGAAAAGTTTACCGATGAGAGAAATATCAAAATATAGATACAGAGCTAAATTAAAAATGTGCAGAAAGTGGGTGCATGCACAAGCTTGTTTCCGTTTTGCGCCTCCGAAGGCCTTAGATAGTCGGAAGTGGGCGTCCCGGATTGCGAGCGGTCACCTCTCCCAGAAAATATCTGTCTAGGGGAAAGGCTAAATCAATTATCAAGTGAACTTGTTTGTATGTGCCATTGCCACCTTTTAGCCTGGTACAATATACTGTGGAAGAGGAAATCTTGTTCGATACATTGTTTTATTGAAAATCTCATTTCGCTCTTCATTGATCGATCACACAATACAGATGGGTAGCTGAAAGAGAGAAACTAAAACCGGAGCAAGGAAGTGTAAACTAAGTGCTTGCACAAATTGCAATAATTTAATTTAAATATTTTCCAATTACATCCTGTGGTGCATGGTAGGTTATTAAAATAAGTGAACGTTCATACATACTCACTACTTATCCAACATTGTACAGTAATATCACTGTAAAATATGCGTAGTAAGCACTCGACATAGAGAGAATCCGACGACACATTCAAACCACTATCAGTTATTGATTTGGCAACCACAAGCACTGACGAAAAAACAGAAGCAGGAATGAAGAGTTATACACACATTTTCGACAGAGTTCCATCTAGACTGAGACAATAACAGCGCAAAGATAACCCCATGATGTACCTAAAAGGTCATTCTACCGTATGAACGTGAAGGTATTTGTCCTCGAAAGTTGTGCAATCATCAAAATTCATGATCGATCTGAAAAGGACTGTCGAGAAATGATTACACAATGACCACTGATTCACAGTACGATGTAAACGTCACTGCCAGATAGCTGCTCGATCCTTTTCGGAACGCAATTTTCTTGAGATCAATCGATTCACCCAAGTACGATACAGTGTTCGGTTTGTTGAACCTAAATTGGAGATGCTGTGTCAGTGAGTAATTCTTTGTTTTATATAACCGTTTTTCTGTGGCTGGTCTATTGTACTGTGGAAAAAAAACGATTAAAAAATAAGGAAGAGATAAAGCACTTGCTTTCAAAAGTTTTATCACCTGTGAATGATGACTTCCCAGTTACAAAGCTAGTATAAAGGTGAAGAGGAAATCTGGGGAGCCCTAGCTGTACTTGTTCTATTGTGTATCTAGACTCACAGTGAACGGGAAAGGCAGCAATTAAGACCGCGCGTAAAAGTCGATGATAGTTCAGTGGCATCACCGGTATATTGACGCGTGAAACTGTTTGTGACTTATCATTACCAACTCTTTTTTGCTAAGTCAAGTTGTTTGTCGGCCGGCACGGTGATGAAGAAACGGTGCTTGATGTTAGGCTTATAATGTAGACTGCCAAAAAGACACGGTAGATCTGCGAGATCATTCATCCTTCCATAGAACATGAAGTAAAGTACACAAGGACAATGCATGAACCATGGCCTCCGAGAATTCGCGTTGACTTCGAAGAGATCAAGCAAACCGTACACCAAAGCTGTATAGTTTCAGGCTTAATTCAGTTCAAACAACCACGTGTGGTGGTTTTAGTTCCTGCCTAGGACGGCGGAGTAGAGGGAAGATTGGAGCTGAACAGCACTGATCCTTTGCTCCTATTCTACAAATGTAGGTATTTTTCATCATTCACGCTTTCAAAAGGGACACCTTTTATGTAGTTGTAGATGGTGCCCAAAAAGACAGAATTTCATTATAAAG